CTTGATTTACGTTTAAAAGAAAACTTTTTCATTTTACTGCAGTGCACTCACAGTGCTGCCAGGAGAGAGAGAGAGAGAGAGAGAGAGAGAGAGAGAGAGAGAGAGAGAGAGAGAGAAAAGGAAAGACTGAGACGGAAAAAAAAAGGAGCAGAAGTTTTTCAGGAATATTGAATCATGCCATGAGAAGAGCTGGTCTGGCCGCGGGGCTCCAGCGCTTGTGGTTTTGGGAGAGCAGGGCTGTATTGTGTTGCTCTGAAGTGACATGTTGCCTCTTCCAAAAGAGTGTAATGGTCAAAGACGGGAGGAGTTAAAGGCGAGGGAGGGAAGGATGAAGGTGACCAGAGCCAAATATACTTAAGGTTTCTGTTTACATTCACTACTTAATGTGTTCGGAGGATAAATTGCACTCGGGACAAAGTCTCTGTTTCTGTCAACAACTCATGTGACTCACAAAAAGTCAGTTCTATGTGAAATTAATGGAAAAAATGAATAAGCAGTATATCAATTTAAACACCGGTGTTATGAAACATTCAGCTGCTTCACCACAACTTAAAATCCTACAGTAATCATTTACCATAAAACAGCAGTTTGGGTATTTATATAATGTATTATTTTATCATTACCACCAAGCAGTTTCAGTTGGTCAAACTGGAGCTAATTTTAAGGTTTAATGTATAATGTGCATAATTTTTCTTAAGCGGTGTTTTGTATGTTAATCCTTAAGACTTAGTGTAAAAAGTAAAACTATAAACTTAAATATTTAAGTGAAATACAAGTAGCACGAAGATGTACTTGAGTAAAACTAAAAATACTTAAAGTAAAAGTACTCTGCAGTAAAATGACACTGACTGACATAATATTATGTAACATGTGACATTATTAGACTGTTAATACTGAAGTATCAAAGCTTCAGCAGCATTTTACTGATGTAGCTGCTCCAGGTGGAGCTTGGTTTAACTGCTTATTATACAATAGTTTAGTCCAGTGGTTCCCAACCTAAGGGTCGGGCCCCTCTACAGGGTCACCACATGAATGTGAGGGATCGTGAGACGATTCATTGGAGAGGAAAGAAGAAAGTTGCGCAACACAAATCTGTTTTCAGCTTTTGTAAGTTTCTCAAATCTTTTCTTTTTGGGAAAATTTGGATCATTTGAACAGTTACTGCAACGAAACTATGTGAGAAGTTTAGAGAGGAAACGTCTCTTTGGTGAAACGGATAACAACTCATAGACATTACTGGTTCACCAACATTTATTAGGTTTTTCATATTTATCTGTAAAGTAACTTGTAACTGCAGCTCTTAAATGTTGTGCAGTAAAAAGTTTAATATTTCCCTCTGACACGTGGAGTAAAAGTATTAAGTATCTAAAAATGGAAATACTCAGCTGTTTGACTAAATGTACTCAGTTACAACCAGTATTTTGTTTTAACGATGACCTCGATCTTTCCCCATAACCTTAACTGACTACTGTGGGTTTTGTTTTTAGCTGTGACTGTGATCTTTTCCTGCCATTAACCAAGTGGTTTCTTCACCCACACCACGATCTTTCCCTATAACCTTAACCAAGTCCCCAGACGTAGCTTAACCTTAACCAGAGGAGGTGGTAGGTCAGAAATGATGGGTCATTTTGGAAGGAAATGACGAACAACATTTAGTTTGGAGAACTCGTTGGTCAGTGACGTGCAGGGTCATCCTGGCATTTTATGATATTTTACGACACAGGTTACCACAAGTCATATTGTAATGTTGTGTGGTCAGAAAGTGCTTCCAGAGAGAAAAAAAAGAAATAGAAAAGCTGACTGTGCCATTATTACTGATGATAAATGATTACAGATTTATGCACCAGAGTCCAGTTGGATTATTGATTTTGTTTAAAGTAAAGTACTGTATCTACGACTGTATGAGACTCTATCTGAGGTCTACTGCTACCACACAGGAGGTGGAGACGGCTGAAGGTGTAAAAAGTGGGGAGTTACAGTGGGAGGGGACAGCAGTGAGGGGGAGGAAGAGTAGGATGGAGGGAGGTGGAGGACATAGGGAGGTGGGCGTGGGGGCTGCTGGCATCCACCAGTCCGGGGCTGATTTGGATGTGGAGTCATGTTGGCTTGGCAGAGGCCCACTTCATTAGTGTCCTGATGCATTAGACCTGAGTAGAGAGGGAGGCGGAGGGAAGAGAGGGTGAAGCAAGGGGAGGAGAAAAAGAGGGAAAAGCGAAGCAAAGGGTAGAAAGTGTGAGCACAGGAGGAGAGAGGACGAAGGAGGAGAGAGACGAGGAGATAAAGTGTGAGGAAACGAACCCGCCCCGTGTGTTTGGCTCCGCTCTCTGACATCATCATTAGGACATGAGGGAGACCAGGCCCCCTGCCATCGATGCATGCATGTGTGTCTGGCGATTGATCCAAGAGTCCTTGCTGTCAGCCCAAATAAGCTCAGAAATGATGAAGGTCGGTGGATGGTGGAGGAGCAAGGGGGGGTGGGGAATGTGTGGAGGTGGGTGAGACGAGAGGTTTCGCAATCCCCTCCATGATTTACCCTCAATTTAGTTATTAAGTGTCTCGGTAAGTTTGTAGGGGGGGATGTTTGTGGCTGTGTGGTCCTCATTAGGGCAGAGAGAGATATATCTTTTTTATTTTTTCTGTCACTGACTCTCTCTCTCTCTCCGCCGCTGGTTTCCCAGCATTCTTACCGTCTTTCCCCAATATCTAAAACCGTCACGTTGCGTGAAAGAAACAGAAGATTTGAAGGAGGGAGAGAGAAAAATGACAAAATAAAAAAAAGGAAAAACCTACTGAATTCCTGTAAATTGGTCACCCCCCCTCACCACCACCACCACCACCACCCACCCCTGAAAATAAAGCCCCTGCGAATGAAATCGGAGCAATTTCATGGTCTGGCCTGCCCTCAATATTATTTAAGTAATACCCTGTTATTATTGAAGAGAGGGAGAGAAAAGCGAATGACTATTATCTTTATGTGGGTCCTTTAATTTTAATGCGCCACAGATTTATAGCTGGGCATTCCAGTGGGGAGGCCCCTCCCTGCTCTTAAAGCGAGCGGGCGGGACACGACCGCAACGCTCTCACAACAGCCACTACCTCCTGACAAACAACCAAAGTCCCCACTTTCCCTCCCAACACTTCAGGCTGCCCCCCCCCCTCCACTGCTGTCAGATAGCACCTCACACTGCAGATCCTGACAGCCGGAGGATCCCGAGAGCTCCACCCATCAGGAAAACAAACACACCTCTACACCTCCCCTCCATTTATAGTCCCTGCTGTCCCTTCTGTCTCTCTTTACAACTTCCTAGCTCTGGCAGTTTGGGGAGTTTTTGCCCAGAGTTTGGTTTCTCAGGCTGCATAAAAACTGTGTCCTCTGACAGACCAGACAAACTTAACCACCTATATATGACCAGCTGATATAACCTGTGTCAAACGTGTACAGAGCGCCATTAATCATATCCGCCATATGTGTGTATGTTTGGCAGCAAATGTAAGTAAGATATTTAAATCATGGCTGACCACCAGATGTTAGAGGCAAGTGAGGAAAACCAAGAGTGAGAGCAGCAGCTGAAGATCGAAACGAAGACGCCACAGAAGGGACAAGCGGTCAGACTGCAGGTGGTCAGAGTTGAAAATAAATAAATAAATAGATAAATAAAGACAGGGGTACACGAGCATAGGACTGTTCCAGAAAAATCAATAGATGATTTTATGTCCTCCATAGACCCAAAGTGTTCAATATGCAACCAACTCCACTCCAGTTTCAAGCAAAGTAACTTAGGGCACCATTTCCAAAAAAGTGTTTTGGTATTTCACAATAAAAGTGCTCTACTATCGACTGCTGTACAACAGAGGGACAACTTGTTGTTGTTGTTGTTGTTTTTGTTGTTGAACTACGTGTCTAATCAAAGAAAAATGACAAGTGGAGTTCCCCAAGGTTCGATTCTTGAGCCTCTTCCGTTCTCTCCACATGTTCCCAGGAGCTCAAATTATTTACTATGCAGATAATAATCAAATTTACATCGCAGTGTTATCAGGTGACTACAGTCCTGAGGAACTGTGAAACAAACACTTGAAGACCTTAATTTCATACAGTTAAAAACTAACATGAGGACATTTCATTTCTTGTTTACGTTTCTTGTTGTCATGTGTTTCTATTATCTGAGACTGGTGGCTTGTTTACCGTTTTGCAGGTTAAAAAACAAAGCAACATAAAACATATCTGGAAGAACGTTTATACCCGAGCTCTCAACTTTTAAATCAAGACTAAAAACCATTCTGCTACTTCTTATTATTATTGAGAGTTTTTCTTCTCTGTACTCTCACAGTATTTTGACTGCATTGTAGTTGTTGTTTGAATGCCTGAGGTGAACACCTGGCACCTTTTTCTCCATATAAAACTACAACCGCAGCAGCTGTTCCAGACTCAATCTAACTACTAAATCAAAATGATTACGTCCCTGTCGTCTCTCCCCCCGCCACACTCCGTCTTCTCTATTGAATGGGCTGGTTAAATAGTGATGGGGTGTCATAAGTTTGTAAATAAGAGACTTCCTGGCAGACAGCTGGTTGGCGTTTTACTAGAGCTAATCTTACACACATTAGGTCAAAGGTATACTGGACACATAGCTGTTTGAATGCCAGCCTTGGAGCTGGTTAATAGACCGTGACACCCTGTGAGCTGTGAAACACTTGTTCTCACCCTCTGTTCACCCTGCAGCCCTGGCTACTGTGTGCCGAGGCTGGAATAGGTTACTGGTGGTTTTATAAGATGGGTTGCATCATACAAGGTTACGGTCAGCTTCAGATTACACTTAGGACATGATATTTTATCTTGGGTGGAAGATACAGAAGTTTAAAGAAGAGTTTTATGTAAAATAACAAATATAAGTGACAAGATAAAGACTAATTCTGCTGGTTTGGTTGTTCTTTATTTCATTATGTTTAAATGAATTCCTGGCTGCAGTCTTGATCAGGGGTCACTGTGCCCCATTAATCAGCTCTTTTGTCTTTCTCGTCAGGCGCTTCACAGGCCACCCCCGGCCCCGATGAAGGAGCACCGCCTGTCTCCGATGCGTGAAGAACCATTATCTGCCCCAGGAAATGATGAGGGGTCACAGACTGTGGGCGCAGGAGCCGGAGGCGGATGTCCGTCCGGCGCTGTTGGCGGCGCTGGGAGCAACAAGAAGCCACGATCGCGCACTAAGGTAGAGTCTGTCGTTGTCTTTCCTCCGCTCAGCAGCCATGAAGTCATTATTGTGGATTTCAGTACATGGCTTATGGTTTTAATTCATCTATCTATCCTTCCTGAATCCTGGTGGTGTGTTTTCCAGATCTCCCTGGAGGCCTTGGGTATCCTGCAGAGCTTCATCCAGGACGTCGGCCTGTACCCTGACCAGGAGGCCATCCACACCTTGTCGGCACAGCTTGACCTGCCCAAACACACCATCATCAAGTTCTTCCAGAACCAGCGTTACCACGTCAAGCACCACGGCCGCCTCAAGGAGCTGGGCGAGGGGGCTGCCGCCAGCGGCGGTGTGGACGTCAGCGAATACAGAGAAGAAGAGCTGCTTTCCGGCTCAGAGGACCCAGAGTCCAGCGAGGATGGAGCTGAGGAGATCTACCAGTCCACAGAGGGGAGCGGCGGGAGCACAGGTGGGCTGAACCAGCCTCCGGGCTCCTCTAGCTCCAACTCCAGCCAGTCGTCCTCAGGAACCAACATGGCTCAGGAGGAGGGCAAGGACAAGGGGCACGGCCGGCCTGGTGGCAACATGGCTCCCGGGAGCTCCTCATCCAGTCCCCGAGAGCAGGCTGACTACCAGAGGTAGAGACTGACAAACAGAGAGGAGAGGACAGAGAAAGAGAGAGAGAGGGAGGAGGAGAGGAGAAGAAACAAGAAAAAGAAAGAATCTACGATACAGAAATGAGGAACTGGAAATGAACGGATGGAATACGGCTGCACAGAAACTGTATGAGACACAGATGTCTCCATAGGCACAGATTCACCAAGAAACCATGAGACTGAATGACTGTACATCGCCCAGACGACCAGACGGACTCCTTTTAGCGACAATCTCTGACAGACATCTGTGAAAACCTGATTTGTGGAGTGAATTACCTCAGCAGCAGACAGCAGGTTTGCAGTGGTTGTGTAACTGTGAAACAGTTTTTCCAGAAATGTTTAAATAATTCACTCCAGACTTTCATTAGCAGATAAGACGTTTGCTGCCCAGGCGTCCAAACTACAAACAGACACACAGACAAATCTCCTAATCAGCCAATCACCAGAAAAGACACTCCACAGAGGCGGGACTTCATCAGCTTTCTGTCCCTGCGCCTCCTCTTTAAAAACTGAGCACAGTCCCATCGAACATTCCTCCCTATATGCTGATTTATAGACTGGATCCTGGGGCCTTCTGAGACCTCTGCAATCCTAGAAATCCTCAGGACACACACTGATGTTGCTAATGCTGTTGGCTGCCTGAGAACATGGATAAACAAGACTTTCTGTTCATCGTTTCACAGCGGAAAAAAGGAAACAACCACCGACATCCCGTCCTCACCTCACCGTCACGCTCCAGAATCACTACCAGTCCTATCAAGCACTTAACTGTTCACACAGACTCTGATCATTTTTGTGGGTTTGATGACCTCTGTCCATCCGTCCATCCGTCCATCCGTCCGTCCATCCTCTCGATGTTTCGCAAAAACTGCGGGGTTTAAAAAAAAAAAAAAAAAGACTCACGAGAGAGAGAGAGAGAGAGAGAGGAGCAGTGGACGGTCTGGCAGGAGGACAGTGGACTGACATCGAGAGGATGTGGCGTGGAGGGACACCCCAGGCTGTGTGCGCGCCCACGGCTCTGAGCCCTTCCTGGCAACATCCCGCGTACGTGTGGCGAGAAAAAAAAAAAAAAAAAATGTCAAGAAAAGGAAGGACAGAGCGGAGATTCAGCAACCAAACAATCAGTCACTTTATGTGCGGTAGTCCACCCCTTCCACTCTCCCTCTCTCCATCTCACTCTCTCCTCCTTTTCCTCTCTCTAATTGGTGCCCACAGTCTTGTGTTTCACCACACCTACCCGCACTTAAACTTCACCAACCCTATTTATTGCTATCTTTATCCATGATTATTATTATCATTATTGTTATTATTGTTGTTATTATGGTTAGAATTGCTGTCATCGTGTGCTATTTTTAGTTTTTATTTCCATGGTTTTAAATATTGGTTTTCAGAACTGGGCGGTTGTTTGGGTAACAAGAGACATTAAGAGAAACTCTGCCCTGAAAGAAGAAGAGGACGAGAAGGAGCCGAGAGTGAAAGAAAAGAAAAAAGAAGCAGTTACTGAGTGTTGTTGGGTAAAAAAAAAAAAAAAAAAAATTATAAAAAAAAAAAGTCCTGTCATGTATTATGCCAATTTTTTATAGTTCTGTTTCCCAAAAATAGTAAATAAGATTTGTTGAAAAGAGAAATAGTTAAATAAGAAAGCGAAACTGAGCTTTTTTGCTGCAGTTGATGACAATCGACTTTTTTGAGCCATTAAAGAAAAGTGGCAGGTTTGAGTCTGTTCCTCACTTTTAAATGTCTGTAAATACCCGACATGGGATTAATTATTACTGGTATACTTTTATTTTTTATTTTGCCGAGTAACTTTAAGTGTTTGAGCCAGTTTGGAGTGACGGAAGAGTTTCTGTTTTTCTTCCTTTGGATAACTCAGTTCAGTTTCATCGTTCCAGGCAAATTGAATCACAAGAGTATTTAAGAAAAAAAAAGAAAAAAAAGAAATCTGTTTTTTTGTTGGATGTCTGGTGCAGTTGTGTTTAGGTATAAAATCTGTTCAAAAACAATATCTGAGAATGGATGGCGTGTTGTCTGACTGTCCTGATCAGCTGCTACACTCAAAACAGATGACTTGTCTTTCAGTTATGACTCCGATCACTCCGTACGATAACGTGCTTTTTTTTTTCTTTCTGTATGACAGGAATCAGGGTTCGACTCAAATGCAGTTCTAATGAAATCTTAATTCATCCAGTGTTGAAGTCAATTAAAATTTGTGAATTCAAAGATCGTGTGATTTTTATTTCACTTTTATGGATCCTCGCACTCACACACTTGGACGCAAACACACACACACACAATTTTGTGGCTGGGCCAAATCGTCCTCCAAGCCAATCAATTAAAGGTCTGCTGTAAAGCCACAGGGGCTGGGGTTTCTAATAAGTGCGTGGGGAGTGACAGTAATTCACACAGGAACACAGCCAGCGCTCTCTCGCTCTCTCTCCTGTCCCACAAGATTAGAGCTGCTGGAAGCTGCACAGTCCCACTTCACCCAGCAGACTTTAGAGAACAATGGAGCCTGTCCTGAGAACCAGTCCCACTCATGCTACTGTTTACTTTCCTCATTGTTTCAGATTTGGTGTATGGAGACACAATGTAGAAAACGGCCCTAATGAGCAGTGGCAGTGGTGGAAGAAGGATCCAGATCGTTTACTAAAGTAAAAGCACCAATACAACAAAGTAGTTATGTAAAACTACACAGTTATAATCAGCTGCTGCTCGTTCTGCAGTAAAACCTGACCTGATACTGACATATTATATAATCACACCTGTAAGACTGATCCAACAATGTGCGTTCGGCATTTCACTGTTGTAGTTGTTCAAGGAGGTAGTGCATCCCAATGGTTCCCAACGTAGGGGTCGGGCCCCTCCGATAAGTCACCAGATTAATCTGAGGGGTCGTGAGATCGTTCATGGATTTGTAAAAGAAGAAAAAAATAAAGTTCTGATACATAAAATTTGTACATATCTTTTGTGTATTTTGGTGGAAAAAAATTAAGCAATTTGCCGGTGATGTTCAATATTTTTATCACTGTCAAAGACTCCCATGAAAAGACCAAAACCAACTACGTCTTGGTGCATCTCTCAATTCCTTCCCACCTCACTACCCCCGCTGTGGCTCTCAGCCAAAAGCCCATTGGTTCCTACTGGGAGCTTGAATCTTAAAAGAACAGGTCACAGAGTTAAACGTTAATGAGAACAGTAGACCATTTTCAGCCATGGATTCGGTGCAGTAGTGAGCAGGACTGTCTATATCAGATTGACTCATAATAAACTACACTGTGTATGTGCAACAGTGCAGCTCACTGATGCGTTTTTAACAGTTTTAGGTCACGTGTATGTTTTTCTTCCTTTTTTAATCCTAAATAATTTTCTGAAACACTCGGCCCCGGACTTTGTGGCAAAGGTTACTCAAACAGGAGGAAGTAGTGCATTTGCTCAGCTGCAGATTTGGTGCATCAGCAGGGCAGATTTGAAAGAAACTACAGTGCCCACGTTCTTTGTGATTAATGTGACCTTCTGCAAAGGTGCGACTCATTTCTGTGTTTTTAGTTGATTTTGAGGCTCTGAGGAGACGTATATCAGATGTTAGTGTATGTTAGTTTTGGTCTTTTCATTGTACTTGCTGACGATAAGAAAAACATAAATGAGACGTGTCCTGTAAACATGACTCATGGAGCTGCGGTTTCAAGCAGCTAAAATGAAAAAAATAAAAAAATAAATAAAAAAGTTCTGTGTCTGTGATGAGAGAAGAATTAGCAGAAAAAAAAACTCTGTCTTCTTGTGGTTGTTTTTTTTCTTTTGTCATCATTAGTCATCGATTAATGAAACACAGCTATTAGCTCAGAGAGAGGAGCCCGGGGAGACTGGTGACTACATGTTTTGGCTGAACACTGACACTAAGCAGCAGTAAACAAGTCTAACAACAGGACTACGAAAGGCCGACCTCTACTCTGACATGTTGTGTTCTGTGAAACTAGCCCTCTGCAGTGTATTCTGGGTAAAAAATAACTATTTTCGACCGACTGACCAACCAACCAGAGAGCGATGCGGCAGATTTCTCTCTCGTTTCTCTCTCCTCAGCTGGCAGGAAGTTTTATTCGTTTTTATTACACAACTCTGAGTTCAGAGATGCCCTGGAATTACAGCATTTATTAGGCAGAAAATCCAAAGCCAGTATATTTTTATGACCTGTCCAACTTGCGTTATGAAGCAATATAAAAGCACAGCGCTGTCGTACATTCGAACAGCAGGGTGGCGCAGCGGGGGGAGGGGGAGGGGCCAAAATTCTCCGGAGAAACAACGCAAAAAAAAAAAAAAAAAAAAGCCGAACCCGTCTCAACTTTTTGCTGCAGCACAACATGATGTCATCGAGCAAGGCTCCGTAGGCCAATCAAATACATGCGAGCGCACATTCCTGGTGGATTACTTTGCCGTGTGAACGCTGTGTTTTGACCGTTTACCTCGTGATTGTTGCAACGAAAGATAAAATAATTGCCTGTGTGAAAACTTTCCACATCCTCTCTGAGTATCACAAACTGTTGTGCAGAGTTTGGGTGTCTGATAAACCTTTAACCACATAAATCTGTTGCTCCAAATACACTGTCTGTATTATATTTCCTGTCTCACTCCTTAAACAACACGCTCCCACCATCACAGCGCTGTTGGTCCGAATTATGAGACCACTCAAAATACAGAATATTTGGCTTCAGAGGGGAATGTGGTTTATCTGTCTTGGCGAAAAAAAAAGTTTTTTTCTTTTAATTGGCGCCTTTAAGAAACTACAGAGACACAAGTGAATCAAGTCGAGATGAATCTCAAATCTTAAACAGACAGAGAGAGAGGATGTGAGATCGCCTCGTCAATCAGGAACCATGTGGCATCGCTGAAATCAACTTCAGTAAATGAGTAAAATAAAATAGCTCCTCTGACAGGGTACCTCACTACAATCAGCTACACACACACACACACACACACACACACACACACACACACACACTTACTTCAACTGCCTCTGTAATGACTTTCAACTCTGATGAGATGTGGCAGGGCAGAACAATCTTGGTGTTTAACCTGCCACTACGGGTCAAGCATTTTGTGTGTGTGTGTGTGTGTGTGTGTGTGTGTGTGTGTGTGTGTGTGTGTGTGTGTGTGTGTGTGTGTGTGTGTGCCAGTCTGTTGGACTCCTCAGTAAACAATAGAGCCTAAGTGCAGGTGATGAGCTGGAGGGTCGGGGGCTTCCTGCACAAGCGTTTTCCACTCAGCTTGTCTTTCCTGCCTGAAGACAATCAGCTCAAGCTGCGACTCTGCCACTGTGGGATAATTATCCCTGCTGGGAAACACTGATGCTTCTCTGTGCTTCCCTTCAGCCTGTCTGCCTGTCTCCCTGCTGTATGCTTCTGTGGGCTAACAAGGCTAGAACTGTGCTGACCGAGCTGCCAGAGGAATGAAAGAACTAGAATTACCACCTCTTGTCTGCAAGTGCCTCCGCCACTCAGACTAGTTTCCCTATTGATCCAGAGTCATATAAAATATGAACCACCAACCATTTGTCATAATTGCTGTGTGAAGTCTTGAGTAAGGTCACACTGACCTTGACCTTTGAAGTCTAATTAGTTCATCCGTCACTCCAAGTGAACATTTGTGCAGTGAAGGGATTCCCTTGAGGAGATCACAAGGCCAAACTCATGTTTTGTGAGGTCACTGTGACCTTGACCTTTGACCTTTAGCCACCAAAATGTCATCAGTTCATCCTCGAGTCCTGGTGAATTTGAAGACGTTTCGTCAAGGTGTTACTGAGATATCGTGTCCACGAGATTGGGACGGATATATGTAAGTACGTATGGACAACCCCACACTACGCCTCCGGCTCTGACTGTCGCCAGCGCGCAGGCATGAAGATGAAAATAATTCATCGACGCTTCTTGAAACAGAGAGCAGGTGTTCACGTTCTCCTCGCCACTCATCTCCCTGCTGCAGTGGATATTTTCATGAGCCAGCGAAAAGAGAGCTGTCATCTATTTCTTCTCGGCATGAATCATTCTTCTGAGAGTTTATGTTTCGCCGTCCAAGTTAACCTTGG